AATTTACCACACTTAAAATATTGAAATTCATAATACAAATAGTCTTAAGCAAAATAATTGATCAAATTAATCCTAGGATTTGTGTTTTAGAAGCTGCAATTTCCTTTTAGCTATCTTATTGTGAAGCAATGTTAAATAAGATTAGCTGAGATAAAAATCACAATTTATAAACTTTAACCTGCTGTGTGACAATTACAGTGGCTGAGGAAAATTAAAACATAGTTTATAATTCTCATGTTTGTATGTTTATCTAGCCCTTTATTAAATCAGACAGAAATTAAATTTATTGACAGGCTTGCTTCATATTTATGGAAATTTATTTTAAGCATTTTTATGCTTGCTGTTGCATTATGCCAGGCACCTTCATTGAGATTCAATGTTTAAGCCTATTAACATAAGTTTTGGCTATATTTAAGAAAAGTAGCACTTTCTAAAGGTGAGAGACTTGGAGATCTAAAAATTAAGTCATTTTTAGTAACTTCCATCCATTATGGTGTGAGTTTGTAGTTGTTCTAAGCTTGGCAGGTATAATGTACAAAACATAAATTCTATATTTATTTATGAGGACTGTATTAACAACAGCCTATGTGATCATCTGATGCAACCTTCTGTTTAATGCAGAAATATCTGAAGAAAGACCATTAGACAGTTTGCTAGGTACCTCTTAATGGTAAAAACTCTTTTAATATTGCCTCCACCTGCTTTAAATTTCATCTGTTGGTTCTGGTTTAGCTGTCTGATGGGAGTTAGAGGTCTGCCAATGTATCTTTCCAAGATCTTGTGTCATCATTCAGAGGGTGCCATGGTGGATAATACATCAGAGTCATACAGGAGACTTATTAGCAGATGCAAATTCTAGTGCCTTTCCTCGCCGCCCACCCTTGGATTATAATTCATAGGTCTGAAATGGGGCCAAGGTGATGCCCATAGGATCTTGAGAACATAATGAATAATGATCTGGAGAGAATTTTACTAGTTGACAAAGGACTACACTGTCTAATAGCTGTAAATGGATTTGATTTGACCAAAATAGTTTATTTCTCAGCTAACACTGAGGCTCCTAATTAAAATGTAATTTTTTAAATCTAAAATTTGGAACCACTTTGTTTTATTACCATACCTCTGAGAAGACCTGAGAAACTAGAAAAAAATTGGGTTAGTATCCTAAAGGTTGATGACTGCCCAGTATCACACTGCAGCAAAGATTAGTGTGCACATAACCCAGAGTGCTAAAAGGCAAAGTTAGAAACTTATCCACAGTATGCTAATTATAAGCAATTTTGATGCATAAATTATATCTGTCTTAGATTAAGAATAAAAATATGTGAAAATGTTCACAACTCATTAGCAATCAAGGAAATACAAATTAACAGTTCAATTAAATATCATTACTGACCCACCAAACTGACAATAAAACAATAGCAGAAACTTTCATCCAATACTTGTGGGAGTAAATATTGGTTCAACCAAACTAAAAAATGGTTGGCAGTATATACTAAAATTCAACATACCTACACCTTATGACCTAGCACTTCCACTCATGGTATACACCCAAGAGAAAAGCATGCACATGTGCACCAAAAACATATACATAATATGTATACCACCCTTTTTAGAAATAGCCCCGAACTGAAAATAATACAAACGTCTATCACAAGAAGAACGAATAAACTGGTTTGCTCGTACAATGAAATAAACACATGCATACACATACACACACACTGCAGCTATATAAGCAACAATATGAACGAATCTCACAAAACTAATATCGACAGAAAAAATCTGGACACAGAAAATACAAAAAAATACATACTATATATTTTTTTCACTTATATAAAGATCAAAAGGCAGAACTAATCTGTGGTTTTAGGAGTCAAGATGAAGTTATCATTGGGGAGAAGGGAAGGGATAATGATGAAGAACTTTAGGAAATAGGTACGATCATGGGAATGTTTTTTCTTGACCTGATTGTTGTTTTATACTGGTGGGCACACTTGGTGATAATTTAGTGAACTATAATACTTGTGGTTTTAAACTTTTCTGTATATATTATACTTCACTGAAAATAGTGGTTTTTGTTTGTTTGTTTTAACCTAAAGGTATATGAACTACATTAAAATGTTTTAGAAATTCTAATTTATTAGGCTTAACTAGTTTTTCTTTTTATAGACACAATTTTAAAAAATAATTCATAGTCCATTTTTTATGGAAAGAAAAGAAACAGCTTTAAAGAAAATTTAATACTTTCAATATTTTTTCATATCATGTCAGATACACATTACTCAGTGCAGTTGACTGACCTCATGGCATAAAAATGGAATTCAAAGAATACAAAAGAAATGTATGCTTATGATAAAATTGTGAAATAATCAGATATTAGAATTTACACTTTAGTAAATAATTCTAAATTGC